AAGTATCTACCACTGTGCATTGCAGTTCCATTTAATGCACCTGCGTCACAGTGCGCCACAAGGTACAGTAAGAATATGGTAGATCCCATCACACTCCTGACCGGAAAACCCCAAAGAGCTAAAGTTATGTGACACTTTGATGGTCAATAAAGAAGATTGACTACAAAAGTTTCTGGAGTGCGAGTGACTTTCTACCAGTTACAATGCACGGTTACACTACTATGCATTGTGGTGCGCCGTGTCAGAAATAATGGCGCATGTCTGATTTTAGGTTTGTAGTGCTGCGTTGGCAGCCCATTTAAATAAATATAACGCAACATGCTGTAACACTCGATAGTGGATTGAATAGGTCATAAAGGGGCTGTTAATCACTCCCTACTCTATATGTTTTGGCTTCAGATACATTTTAGCTAATAGAGCCAAGGGCCAAGGGCATTACTTTTTCAGGATTTCAGATCTTAAAACAGCATCACAGCTGTTCTACGATATTAACAACTTTTTTTGTGTTCCTCAGTCAAGAAGAAAAGGCATCTGATCAGCTATACACACTAAGCAAAGGAAATGCTGGTAAATATATACAATGTACCAGCAGGGCCGGGAAAGCAACTAATCTGACACATCTTTGATCACGAGCCAAGAAATCTGACAGGAAGTTTAAATAAATATGTGAAAAAAGGAGACACTTTTTTGTCTGATAAAAGAAAAGACATGGCGTTTTGACAGTGGGATTAGGACAGGGTAATAACAATTCCAAGAATGGTATCTTAAGTAGGCCCGAAGCCTGAGACAGATCTGGACTCCTCACAACGACGTTCCTAGCCATCCCTGACCTAACCCCAATGTAAACAATGACGATTAACATTGCATAAACCGTCCTCCAATTATAATAATACCAACGCTTCAAGTGTTCGCCAGGGCTTACTTTGTTTTCAGTCCTGATAAAACATTCATCAAACTGTGAGCTAACAAGAATAAATACATGTCTAAGACTTGTTTGGTTTCCAGGATTAAAAAATGTACATTAAAGGATTACATGCATTAAAGGATTCATTGGACTCAGGGAGGGTAGAATACTGGAACAAAGGGTCACAATGTCAAGATAGATGGTGGGAAGTGGAGAAAATACTGCCCGATGATGTATGAGACAAGTAGGAATGCTATAGAGTGCATAACGCGCTGCATTAAAGGTAGATTCTAGATTTCCGAACAGCTTTGCACACCGTTTTACAATATATAAAATGTAGGTATATATA